TCTCCATCCGTTTACCTATTCTTTGTCAGTTTTCATAAATGCTCCTTATTGCCCAGAACGATAAGTCTTCTTCCCTCTCCTCACTCTCCGTTTCCTCCTCACTTCCTCCCTCCTTCCCGCCCTTCTTTTTTTTCCCCCAAAGGAAAAAAAATCATTACACGTGTAATCTCCTGGGGCAGACAGAAAACGACGAAAGCCCCCTTTCTTTCTCTCTTTTCGTTCGCGGAAGGCCAAAAAATCTTCCCCCAGCCCCTTCCCCTCTACCCCACTCTGCTCTAGTCGACGGCGACGTGTTGGAGCAGGGAGACGCGCGGCGCGGGGGCGCGGGGGCCGTGGAACGAACAACACTAACGATTGTGGTGTCGTGATTCTTCTACTTCGGCTTACGAGCGGCTCCGTGACGCGGCCGCGCCAGCAGTCATTTGTTGTCGGAGGGGAGGGGAGGGGAGGGGGTTGATAACGCCGTGCTCGCCATTCATCGCCGACGCCCTTTGTCCGCGGGGCTCCGCGGCCACTCGCTCACAATACGGCCGGACTTTTCAATAACTCGGCGGAGCTCCTCCAACTGTCGTATCGAGCCCTCACCGAGGCCCTCGCCCTGCTGTCTTCTTGTCCCAACCGCACTGCCCACTGCCTTCCCGTCGGCGACCACATTTCCCCAGCTGCTGCTTTTGTTCGGGAAAAATTGAATTTTGTGTCAACGCCAGCGTCAACATTAATATCCCAACACTCTTCATTCGGGTATTAACGTCAACGTTAAATATGTATTCATTCCGCATAAATGAAAAATTACAATATTCAATGTGTGCAGCCATGAACAACATGGAGCTCTGCTTTGAAAATGGATCATCCCAATGGTCAAACGTACTTTTGTTTAATGTGGACATGGTGTTACACATCATCACATCACTCCTACATTTTACCGACCAACAACGCTTGTCACTTTCTTGTCTTCTTTGCTAACAAATTACACCCCATACCCCCCCATCCGCACGCATCTTTACTGGGCACATCAATGACACGATCAATAACGCCTTCCGGTAAAGCTGAAATGTTCATGAAGAATGCGGGGAAGAAAAAAACGAAAATCGTTACGCATGAACATGGGGACTTCCGTTTTCTTGTCCTGTGCATTCTTCTGCATTTCGACTTTACGGGAATGCTTTGTAGTAAATCCCCCGGCCCCAGCAGCCGGCTGGACACGGCGCCCCACAGTGGAGCCCCCGCCGGCCCAGCCCCCCGGGGAGCTGTGCCGCCTCCGCCGCTTCAGGACCCCGTCGAGTGGCCTGGCCTCGGGGCCGGGCCGGCATATGCCGCTTGTTAGTGGCCGAGGCCAATCAGGAAAAGGGAGGAGGGGGGAGGGGGCGGCTGGGGCTTTGGCTCGGGCCTTGGCCGGCGGCGGGGCGAGGCGGCCGGGCCGGCCTTGTCATATAGCGTCCACTACAACCCTCCTGATTTCCCAGCGGGCCGCCAATGCTCCTCCTTGCGGCTCGCTACCGCCGCCGCTACCCCCTCCCCCGGAGCCTCTAATGAGACGTGGCAGCCGATAATCCGACGGCCGTACTCCGCGCCGGACGGGACTTTTCATGCTAAACTCGCACTGATGAGCTCTAATCACGGGGTATTGACGGACGCGGCCGCCAGTACGACGGCAGCGCTTGTGCGGGGATGATTATCATTCATAATAGTCGGGACGAGAGAAGAGTTTTAGGGACGTGAGTGGAGGGGGGGTACATGTGCACCGCACCAGCGCTAGCCCCGGCACTGCTGGCAGTGGTCGCCGAGTGCAGCGGACAGGTGGTCCTCGTTGTGACTGGCGCCTGTCTGCTTATTGGAACCTTTTGTGCCACCCCGACAGCGAGGGGGAGGGCTATGATTGGCGTTTGGACGGCGGCAGCAGCACCCCCCTGCCGCAACGCGATCGACGCTCTCGCACTCTCTCTCTCTCTCTCTCCCCTCCCCCTCTCCGTCCGCCGTGGGCTCGCCGCTCATACAGAACGCCTGCAGACACATAACCAGTGTCGTAAAGCTCTTGACGGAGTGCGTCACCATAAAGGGGAGCGGCTCCTCCATCCGCGGCGGCGAGGAGAGGCGGGAGGACGGCCCACGGCTCCCTGGGGGCGCCCCGGGGAGAGAAGGCCCCCGAGGCCCTGGGCTCGGCGGGGGCGGGGCGTGGGGCCGTGTAGACCAGGACGCATCATTGACCAAATCATTTATCGGAAACGAGCCAACTTTGAAGAGCTCCATTAAATCTGACTTGGGTGGGGCGAGGCTTTGGGGTAGGGGGCGGAGATAGGGAGCAGTGTCACAAACAGCCTCGCATACATGGAGAGCTGCGCGGGGGAAAGGAGAGACGCGCAAGCTGCACGTCACAGAGACGGGGGAGCAGGAAAAAAAACTTTGACAGAGCGAATATTTTCTGGACGCTCCCGCTGCACGGAGAGACCTGCTGAGAACTCTCCCTGAAACGCACGCATTCTGTCCGATAGCAGGAAACAATCCAAACTCACAAATGTTCGAAAAAAATGTTCTTTTAGTATCGCTCGCGGTATCGCTTGAGCTGAGTTCATGGTTACTCAAGGCGGGAGTACAGTTTAGCTCATCATGCAGAACCGAAGCACCCCCACGTAACGATCCGACAGATACAAAATTGAGATGCTATTACGGTAAGGCGAGCGGCGTGCGACTATCAAAGAAAGACAAACAAAATAAAGCAGAACAGGTTTGCCGTTGTGACACCCGTTTCGAAGCAGTTGGTTTCTTGGAAACTGTACCCGGAAAAAAGGGGAAAGCTGTAGCAACCAATCGTATGCGGTCAACTATATGATTACAGTTCATTTTTTGGGTCTATGAGAATCGTTGTGAGAACTACATTGAGTTCTTTATTCCCTGACAGATTGTTGTCTCAACCGGTCTAGACGTATTGTTTCTGTCTGAGCTAAGCCATAAATGGTTTCCACAGCTTTCCATTTTTCTGGGTATTATAAAACTGAATAATTTCCAAGAAACCGACCGCTCTGGAACGGGCGTCACCGGCAAACTCGGAACTGTTGTGCGTTTGTATTCTCTACCCCCCTTCCCTCCCCCTCTCCCCTCCGCTGTACCGCAGGTCGGCCGCGACGCCCGTTGCATACAGGGTGTGACCAGCGCCCTGTGCAGGGCCGGGCAGCCCGATAAACGGAATGAGGCAGGCGATGTGTGTGGAGAGCAGGAAGGGGTTCCAGAGGGTGCTGAGAAAAGGGGTGGGGGGAGAGGGGGTCACAGTCGAACCACACGGCAAGGATAGAGAGGGGGGAGGGGGCAGGTGGCTGTCGCAGATAATGGACGCCGTTTATCGGAGAGACGTGAGGACGGGGGTCGCCACACACACACACACACACCTGGACGACACACACATGAACGCACACACACACATACACACTCGCAAAGGGCTCACCGAAGAGCAGGGCCTCAGCCCGAGGCAGGGCTCTGAATGCCAATCGCCTGGCCTCCTGGCCCTTGTCGTGTCCCGCGGGGCGGCTGGCTGGACGCGGCTGGAGGGGCCGCTGGAGGGGCCGCTGGAGGGGCGATAGGATAGCAGAGCCCTAACGGGTTGCCGCTTGTTATACCCGGCCAAGCGGATTCCGTTCGAAAGCGGGGAGCAGGAGGGTTCCATCACTGCAGCAATGGCAATGGCGGTCTGCTCCTGTTCGAGGGGACTTGACTGCTTCCGGATGAATCGAACTCCAGCAGCCATAGCAGCCCTCTGGTCTGGTGTCTGGACCGGTCCGGTCCACCCGACCGGCAGTTCAACCGGGAGCGTCGAGGGGCGGGAGGGGGAGGGGACGGGCACACTAGCGGGGGCAATGCCACCTGCAGACCAGCGCCGCACGCCCTTCAGACGCACGGCTCGACACGGCCGTATGGTACGGAAAACAGACAAATCGAACACGATAAGGAAACGATCTTTGTTGTATTTCCCCACTTCAAAATCATTTTACTGGAATTTGAATGTCGGAGCTGAAACTATCGGGCCCGCCCATCACGCTGCCAGCAGTAGACGCGCCCCTCCGACACACGCCGCCGTGGCGCGCAACTCCTGCCTGCCAGGGAGAAGACAGCCCGCCCGGGCCCAGGCGCAGAGCCGAGTGAGAAGAAGGGGTTCGAACCTACACAGTTCGCAAAAACTTGGCCAAGTCGGAAATCCAGACAGCGGTTGGGCCGCAAAGCCGCGGTAACTTTCTCCGACAGCCATCGGGGCGCGGCGGCGGAGCGGGGGGCGGAGCGGGGGGCGGAGCGGGGTGCGGCGCGGGCCACGAGGAGGGCCGCGCTACACCACCGGGCGCGAGCTGCGCGAGCGGGACCGCCCTCGCTTGAAATATTGACGGGCTGAGCGTCGCGCCACTCCGCGCCGCGCCACTATAACGGAACGGAACGACATTACTTACTACTTGCTTTGCGTCGTCGCATCTTTCATTTCCCGCCCCGCCTACTTCTTTCCCCGGCCGCGCGCGGCTTTTATTTTTTTACTTTATCTTTTCCGTCCGTTTTCCTCACGTCATGACGCGCGGTGTCCAAAGAGGGCGCGGCTCGGAGCGGCGTGCAACCACCGGGGAGGAGGGAGTTGTGATTATTTCAAACGAACGTGGCGCGGCGGGGCGCGGGGCTCCGATGGGGCGCGGCGGGGCGGGGCGCGGCTGTTGTCGTCCATGGTTATCGCCGCAATGGACCGGCGCGCGGGGGGCGTTGGCGCCTCAGGAGGAGTATGGTTACTGCCGCGAGGAGGGCGGGACGTGGCGGGGCGTTGTTGTTGCTTCGGTGAGAGAGGATCGGAGTTAGAATTACACGGCCGCACACGAGTCGTGACGCGGGGAATACGTGAGCACCCCCTCCGCCCCGTACCCGTCGGCTGTGGGGCGTGAAAGAACTATGAAACAAACCAGCGTAATATTTCCCATCCACTTTCTTCACGCTTAAAACAGCAACACGCTTAATATTATGAATTTCTGGCCATGTTGTGAAATATCGAACGTGGAACTAAGTTTGTCCTATATTGTTCCACCTTTTGTTACTCATACGGTGTCGTCACCGCTGCCTATCCTGGGCTAAGTTTTTACAGTGATAACGCCAGTGACTTTAAGAAATTCGACTACTTATTTGTTATTATATGTTTGTTAACAATATTTCACAAATTTTATAGAAAATTATCCATTAGGGGCAGTAAAACAGTACAAACAGAACTTAAAGAGGAAGGCGATACCACTGGTAATCACTGTCATGCTGTGAACATTTCTTGCTTGGGTCGTGCGAAAAGAAACCGACTTGTTCGTAACCCCACATGTCTTGGTGACATCCCTGTGAGCACGCCTGGCAATCTTCGTTCTCACAAGCATCGGCGGGAATCAAAAGTCCTATGTGGAGCCGTGGATTTGACGATAGAACATCCCTGACTTGGTCGCTGTGGAGCCAGGCGTGCACGCACCCCATGGGCTGCGAGTACGGTTGGAACTCGAGCATCCGCAGTGCCGGGGCCGTGGCGGGGCTGATGCCGGGCAGCAGCTGGGCAGGCGGCCCCTCGACGGACAGGTCTCGCAGCGCGGGTAGCGACGGCAGCGCCCTGAGCAGCGGGTGCAGGGAAAACTCGTCGTCCTCTCCTTTTGCTTCGTCCCTGATTGTCAGTTCCCGGACGCGAGACTTCCCAGATGCGGCCAACGCCAGCGCCAGGTCGACAGCGACGTCACCAGGATGGTCCAGGTGGGGAACACAGACATACAGGTGCACTCGGTGCAGCTGAGTGGCGCGGCGTAGAAAGTCCAACCCTTCCTGGATGGGTGGGATGGGTTTTATCCTTTCCGCCTGCACGTGAAGGACCACAGACCTGAGCGTCTCGCATGCTGCCAAAGCCTCCATTCCTGGGAGCAGGGGACACTCAAGCCACCTAAGATTTGGTACATCGGCCAACAGGGGCGCTAGTGTGCTTGATGCCCGACCGCTGTGTACCGGCCATTTGACATTTAAGATAATCACTTCCAGGGTAGAACTGTGCGCACTTATTATAGAGGTGCAGAAGGGCTCCGTCTCTAATTGCAGTATACATTGAAATCTCTTTAGGCTGGCTGTGGACACGGGGTTGTGGACAGCGGGCAAGGGACCAACCGATGGTGATGTGAAGCTGAATAGCCCGGTAATGTCGAGGCATATGAGCCCGGCTGTCGACGCTAATGTCCCCAGCAGCACGGGTAACCCGGGCTGAGACCACTCCCTGAAATTTACTTCAACGCGTCTCAGCCGGCCGAGTCCCTCCTGGTTGCGGATGGCGAAGGCAGCGTGCATGGTGCCCTCCTCATATACCATCAGAGTTAGGTCGGCTACGGCGCACCTAGTCGTGTACAGCATGTGGCACTTCCCCGACGGGACCTGGAAGTGTGCCTTCAGCAAGCATGGTGCCAGCCGGAGCACCGTGCACACCATAGGGTCGTCATACTTGAGCCTCCGGAGCCGCCACACGTCCCGGTGCAAGGCAAGGTCCCGGAACCTCTTGCACGCGAGGCGGAGGGCGAGGAGATCCTGCACGGCCACGTACTGCATCACCTCCACGAGCACATCGTCCGCCAGCTGATCCATGGTCTGCAATGACACGATGCAGTCAACTCGGGGATATACTCGGGGATCGCAACAGGGTATTCCGCTCGAGCCTAGATCGGTGGGGAGAAGGACCTTCCTGGGAGCACCAGCGTGCGTCGGCACCGGGGCGGGGGGGGAGGGGGCAATGTTCCCACACAGAGTTTAGGCTACCGGGGCAAAAATGGGGGGG